AACGTTCGCTCCTGAGGCAGCAGGAAATCAGACTCCCCTATGATCAACTCCTTCTCGTTCCCTTCGTTGATACGACATGGCCCTGCTAAAGCACTTTCCCTCATTCGTCGAATCAACCCTCGCTCCCTCTCGTAATATGCTTCCTCATCCTCTGTAACGAGGACGGGTACCGGGCGACACTTCTTGTCTACCGTCTTGTACCGCCTTTGGGAACCCTGCTTGAGCCGTCCCCTAAAAAAGGCCGACTCACAGATTGTGTTTGCGCTGATGCGGGGTTCCCTCCACTCCCTGGGAGCCAATATACCAATTCCAACCTTCCTGCCTCAGGGCATTCCAGAACTTGTTCCCTCAAGGCCTGGATGGCATCCGGATTTGCCATCTCATGCGCGGCCACCAGGTCCATGGCCTTCCCAACATCTGACAGGCTAAGGGAAAATGCTTTCACCCTTTCTCCTGCTTCGGGCTCTACCCAGAGCCTTCTGCGCTCCCCTTCCGACTCCTCGATTGTGAATGATCCTGGATTGGGCCGGTTCCTTATACTCCTTGGCCCAGTATTCCGACAAATAACTATTTCATAATTTTCGCAGGCAGGATCGCATAAGAGGAGGATCAACGTCCCATGATGTTTGTTGAACATCACGGTCTCTGTCCTGCCTAGGAATGACCTCCCCAGGAGGATTCCATGGTCCACGTCTGGCATTATGAAGAAACATGCCCTGGCCTTCACCTTTCAACCCTCGACGAGCACATTCGAGGCTGTCCCACAAAACATGGCCTTACAACTGGCTCCATGCAGAATGCCGCAGTCAGAACGGTTTATATCCAGCCCGAATCTGATCGCGTCCGCCTCCTGAATAATGTTCATCTCTGCCCCGGTGTCCACCATTGCTGCGCACTTAGAACCCTTCACCATCAAATCCACCGTACCGCAGGCTACGCACTTCCAGTCCATCTTCGTACCTGACTCTGCCCACTCTGCCTCCTTGGGCAGGATCGTACCCAGATGGACATTGGGCACCAGACGCCGTGATAACCTCCCCTTCAGTTCATCGCGGAGTCGCGGGGCTGACGCTAGGATTTCCTTCAGGGTCATGAGGTCATTATGCCCTTCCAGCAGCCGGTCAATCACCTTCTCTACGTCAAATCCTTCTTCCAACCGGACCGCGCATTTCTTCTTTTTGGGCGGTCCGTCCTGTATGACCGGTTCGGCCTCTCCCCTGATCCCCTTTTTCCTTGCCCGCTGCTCCGCTCTCTGATCCTCTTCTCTGCGGAGCCTCTCGTCCTCTTCCTCTTCGTCATCATCGTCCTCTACTTCCACAGCCTCTTTCCTTCTCCCTGGTTCGTGTTCCCCCCTTGGAGGCTCTTGGTTGTTACTGGCGTTGGTTTGATTCCTCGTTCGCGCTGCCTGTGCCAGCCGGGCTTGCGGAGTGAGGGGTCTCCCCCTCATTCCTGGTTGAGGGCACGACCCCACCACATTTACTCCGGGTCGCCCAAGCGCTGACTCCGGGCCAGAGTCATAGAGGAATACTGTGGGGATGTTAGACCTCCATCCTTTCACTTCTTTACAGGGGCCCACCAACTTCTGTTGGCCCATCTTATCCAGCAAGTCCTTCATCTTCTCAAATAAGTATCCAGCAAGTCCTTCATCTTCTCAAATAAGACGGACGGAGACTCCGTTCTTTCCTCCTCTTCCTCGTCATCTGACTCGATGATTATGGCCTCTTCCGTCTCACTTCCTCCTCGTAGCCCTTGAGTCACTTCCTCATCACTTCCCACTTCTTCCACCCCAACGGTGGTTCCTCCTTTTCATGACAGAGCCTGAACATGGCAGGGGGCGGTGGTCCCGTTGCCGCTCTTCGCTGGGCTTCAGCCCTTACTCCTCCCAAGTCTTCTGTCAATGGCCTCCCCAAACTGATCGTAGATATTCCCATCCATAGTAGAGGAAATCAGTCCGCTTCTCTAGTCTTCCTGTCTTATATTAGAGAACCTTATAGTGTGGCCCTGCTGGTCACAATGTTGACAGATGGCCGTCCTCCAGTCAAAGCGGGGTCTTCCATACCCCTGACTTCCCTGATCCCCCCGGCCTTGATAGCCCTGGCCTTGGTACCCCTGGCCTTGACTCCCTTGGCCTTGGCACCCCTGGCCTTAACTCCCTTGGCCTTGGTACCCCTGGCCTTGACTCCCTTGGCCTTGGTACCCCTGGCCTTGGCCATTCCATTGCCTTCCTCTTCCGCCGCCATTCCTGCCTCGCCCCTTTCCTCCACCCCTCCCTCCACTGCCTTGATTGCCCTGCCCCTGGTTCCCACCCCCTACAACACTGCCMTGTGAACTGGGATCAGGTGACAGTGGCGGGGCCACAGGTTGGGCCTGGGCCGCGGGGTAGATGGGTGGTGGCATACTCGTTTGCGGTCCGGCTACTGGCGGCGTACTTCCCCATGGCACAATTGCGTTGATCACCGGCCAGGGCCACTGTCCGTTGAGGTGCCTGCGCTTTTCCTGATCCCTGTCCGCCCTGCGCCAAATTACGCACTTTGCGCTGGACCTTCGTCAGGTGTTGCGGCACCGGCTCTTCCTCTTCCCAGAGCTCCTCCTGGCCAGCCTCCTCTATCACTGACTCTTTTCCTTTTACTTTGACAGCCGTCACTACCCTTCTTTGCACCACTGGCTCTGTCGCATACCCTAGCTGTGCCAATACGTCTGTAACAATCCTTGTTACTCCCGGGGTCCCAGAAGCGGTCGCATCTCTTTCCTTTCTCTTCTGTCTTTGCAGGCGTACCTGACGTTGTTCCACCTGGTCCAAGCACCCAACTTCCATCCCTCTGTCAATGGTGGCCCAGGTGAGCTTAGTGCTTCCTCCTCCATGTCTCGTCAATTCGACGACCTCCGATGCTGTGAGTAGCCCCAGGAAGATGGCGCACTGTGCTTCCTCCGAAATCCCATGGACCTTCCGCGCCCTCTTCTTAAATTCTTGAACAAAGGCCCCTATAGTCGTAAAATCCTCTTTGTTCATCGCTTCAAGATCCGTGGTAGTCAACAACCCGTCTCCCAGGCGGTATTTCCTTTGCATCCCCTCCTTGAACCTCTCCCAGCTACCTTGAGCCTCATCTATGACTTTCTTCACCTCCTGATGGTAGTTGTGGAGGACATACTGAAGGATGCGTTGAAACTTTACAACATCCGGCCGCCCGACCAAAGCTTGTTCCACCCGCTCTAGCCATTCTGAGACTCTCTCCCCACAGAAATGGAAAGTATCGACCTTTGGCATGTTGCTAGGGTTCCTTTCATATCGGGTGATGGCCGCGATGAGGGCATCGAGTGTCAAACCCTTCTTGGGAACAACTGATGCGCCGCCAGTCTCAGGCATCTTGACAACCTTTTCTTTTTAAGTTCCCTGGTAAAAGAAAACAAGTACATCCTCTTATTCAACATTATACCTTGACCGGTCTATTCCATCCGTCCTACCTAACCCTTAGTACTTACTTTACCCACTGTTAACACGATCGTCCCTCATACTTCCTCTACTTGGGTAGGTAAATTTCCTCACCTACACTTAGTCATTCATATATTCCTTCAGTACCTTCTCATCACTCCTTTATGCCTTTTCTTATTCACTTCTCATACCCGGATGTCGTTCCACCAGGGACAACGGTAGGCTTTCCATTATCCCCAGCAACGGCGCCACCTGTCGGGCGCATCGGTC